CGGCTTTGTTTAATTGGAGGTTGGAGAGCAGGCTCGTAGGGCGCGGGCACAGGGAGACAGGGAAATCACAAGGCAAACACTGAGTCATCCAGGGCAGCCAGGCAAGTCCTGCTCCCCATGGTCAGAGGGTCACTGGTGTGGATCAAATGTGGGGAGTGTGGACATTCCCATTGGGAATCCCCTCTGGGACAATGTTCTAAAGGATGGGAAATACCTAACGGGGAATATCAGGATAAAAGCTTCAGTGCAGATCCRTGAACACCATTAAAAGGTGTGCCAGGTCTCAGCTACACAAAAGGGAATTCCCACTGCTGGTACAACATCATATTTGCGCCAGAAGTATCCATGCCCTGGAAATTTGCTGGAAGAATCACCAGCATTGGTGCCCTAGAGATAAGAACATCTGCAGAAGATAAGCATCCACATATCTTATCACATCTTGTGCTCCACTCTCCTGGAGACAAGAGAGTGCTCAACTGCCCAAAGTAACTGAGTAAGGCTGGAGCTAGGGACATGTGGACAGTAAAGAAAAAAAAATAATTTCAATCTCCAGCATTGAGATTCCAAGTTGCTCTGCTGCTGCTGGTTCACAATCCAGCTGAGTGGGAGCAGTTATGGAAAGAGGACTCATTCCCACCCCTGGAATTGTTCAAGGCCTGGCTGAATGGGSTTTGAAGGTCCAGTGAAGGTTTCCCTGCCCATGGCAGGGGAGTGGAACTGGGTGATCWTTAAGGTCCCTTCCAACCCAAACCATTCCATGATTCTGTGGTTCTGTGGTGTGACTTTGGTGGAGTTGGAAGGTGTCTCAAAGCAGCAGGTACTGCTCGGATATGAAGAGCCAAAGACAGCAGAGGCCTCCTTTTTCCCTGTCCTTGAGAAATTTGGAACTGGATACCGGGTGTTTATCCCCAAAGGACATTGCACCAATTCTGCCATGGCTGATCTGGATTTGGGGAGCTCCRTGGAGCAGCAGTGGCAGAGACACAGCCAGTCACAGCACAAATCCAAAGGGTGTTCCAGCAACAAGTAACTTTCCATGTTCCAGGAATAGTATCCATATGAATATTCACCTGTCTTAAAATGACCTCCGAACCCACTGACCACAGATCTCTTCTGGCTTTTCCAGAAAGATCTTTAGTTACACAAACAACATTTATCAGTCCACTGGGTGTTTTCTAAACCCAAGCCCTCCTGTTTGTTATTCTTGGTTGTTTTTCTTTTCTCTTTATCTACCCGAGCAATGTTACCTTCAGGTCTGTTTTTCTTGCCTACAAGTTTTGATCCGCTTATAACCTTTAAAATAATATCTTTCATCATCAASTTGAAGGCAGAGTTCTCAAATCGTTTCCAAATTATAGCCCCGAGAGTTAGGGGACACATTTCCTGGCACTCTCATAATTACAGAATCTATGAAATGGTGAAAATTGTGAAGCAGTGTCTGCATTTGTTACAAAATTCTAATTATTTACAAATATATATATATATATATATATATATATCTTTAGCTCAGTTTATTTTATATATATCTATCTATAGACAGACAGATAGATAGATAGATAGATAGATAGATAGATAGATAGATAGATAGATAATAACCAGAGCTAAAGAAAATGTCTCAGCATGTTTTCAAAAAGTTGATAACAGTTCTCCAGATAAACATTGTTCAACAGCAAATATTGTGTTACCTTACAGCAACAGAAGTCTCCTCTCACCCCTCTTTCCTGCTGAGCTCTCTGYTGGTCATTAACTGCCTGTGCTGAATAATTTGTTCCATTATCCAAGCTCCAGATCTGTCCTCACYAGACAATAGCCAGCTCTGCTGGCAGATGAGTGCGTTTTGGATCTGGTATTYTCTATTCTTACAGCTTTACCTAATGGAAATTTGTACTGTGTAGTAATCCAACTTCCAAAAAAAGACATAAGATGATRTAAGGAAAAATATTTAAGTTTTTAGAAGAGCAAACACACTGTATACTTGTCTTCCAGCTTCTCCAATTCTCAAAGTTTTTGCTTTGGAACCCGCACCACTATTAAATATATTGGAAGTTAAGTGTCTTAAAAGGRTTCAGCAATCTAAATACATCTCTGAGCGTTGTCCAAAATGTCTTACTCGGGACCAGCCAAAGTAACTAAAAATACATCTGTTGACTTAAGCAAAGTTTGGATCAAACCCTTTAAGTGTGACTGGCTTGCTTGTCTTGGTGTAAACCTGACCTTAAATACTGAACACATTAAAGGAACCTCCTGCATTTTCATTCTCTCTTCTCTCTCCCTTCTCTCTCCTCAGCCTTGTGCTGTCCATGGCTGGAGTTTGTGCTTCATTTGCTTGTGTTTCTTTTTTGCCCTTTGGGCAATGAGAAAAACAGAGGTTTGTCCCACTTAATTTTGGATACTCAGCAGAGGCTCCCAAGCCTGAGCCTCACCATGGCAAAGAAGGGATAGGTGTCTCCTGAGACCGCTCAACAGATCCAAAAGTTGAAGTSCCTCTCTTTGCCTCTCATTGTCTTTGAATTGGAGAGGATTCAGTGGAAATGGATTCTCAGCTTGGAGAGAGAACCCTCTCTGCAGGACCCGCAGCCAGGCAGGAGAAATCCAAGYTCAGGCATGCAACCCCACCCAGTATCCACTGGGAACACTGGAGGGACGCTCACTCCCTCTGCTCCCACCACGTTATCCCTGTAAAAAACACCTCTCTGAGAGCATGGCAGGGTCAGAACAGAGGACAGAGCCACTCACATCCAAGCCCTYTTCCCAACCTTGTCAAGCAAGCAGCGTTCTGTTCCTTGCTGTTCCTTTTCTCAGCAGTGAATCCACTCCTTGTAACGCACAAGAAGGGCTGGAAGGCAGAGCAGCTGGCAGGGATGCCAGCCCTGAGCCTCCCCTCCTTGTCCTCAGTTAAAAAACATAACATAAAAGTGAGCCTGTGGCTTCTCCTTGTCCTCTGCTTGCTGAAGGAGGCACCTCARTGCTGGTTTTTGGGTTTGGGATGAGCCCTGCTGAGATCTGCTCTGCACCAGCACAACCCCTCTGCTGCTCCCCACTGCCTTGGTTTCAAACCCAGCTTCCCCCTCAATCCTTCTCTTCCCACACACTCCAGGCCTGTCACTGGGAAGTGAATGGATTTGCTTTCCATTCCTTCCCTTCCTTCTCTATTTCTTTCTTCCAAGGGAGAACAGCTGCTGCCCTCTCCATCCCCAGGGAGGTCTCCCCACTGCTCCTCGAGCCAGAACATTTATAACTGGATGTGAAAGAGAARAGAAACAAAATTCTGACTATTTTCCAATGACAAACAATGAGACCAGAACTTTYAGAAACTATATTCTCTGTTATTCCATTGCACAGAAATCACTGATCATTTTGTAAAATTTATATCATGGAGACKTTACCCTGCCTGGTTTTGCCTTTGTACTTTGGGGAGCTATTGAGGGGAAAGAAGACCTTCCCCCCACTTTAAAAATGGCCAGGTTTAGGGCTTTTGGTTAGAGGAAGGAAACAGTCATCACGATTTTCTGGAAGCAAGAGGGAAAACCCAAGCTTAAGTGCTACCAAAACCAGACCTCCCGTGTTTAATGGCTGTTGGACCTGTCGAGGAAACCACTTGGGCGGACACCCTGTCCCATGTGGTYGAGCTGCTCCCTCTGCCAGTGGTTTCAGAGGAAAAGATCACGTATCACACTCTCAGCCAGAGCCTTCTGGAGTCAATAAAATCATTTGCTCTTCTTCCCCAAAGTGTTTTGAGTTAACCCATCAAAATTTCCAAAGCACTGGCAGGATGGAATAGCTGCAGGCACCAGGAGAGAAGGAGGTGAGCAGCCAGCCCACAGAGTGACATGAGGGAGGATGACACTGAGCTTCCCAGGAATTACCTTAATATCAGATTTTATTTTGTTTTGAAAACCTGACTCATGTTCTGAATTAACTGCAATGCCACAGCATGCAAAACCATATTKCTATGTTGCCCAAATTATTTCAGAAGCAATGTTGTATTTGCAGCTTCATGTCCCAAATGCCCCTGTGACTTCAAATGGRCAGAAGATTTCAAATTAACTCCGTTTACAAACTGCAGTCAGGAATACTGTGCAAGAAAAGGGCTGTAGAAAATATGTGAGGCGCTTGTTTTTAAGAGATCAGGTGAAATAAGTGACTAGAAGGAATTTTTATTTATAGCACTGTGTGTCCTGAAGCAGCTGTAGCTCCGCCTCGGACAGTAGGATGATTTTAAGTTTAAAAGTGTATTTATCCTTTTTTTCTCCTATTTTGCTGCAACAACAACAGCAAAATGACATTTTGAGGAGGAGGAGTTGTGGCCAGGCAGTTTTTACACAGCACAATGTGGGCATCTGGCTGGGAGAGGGCTGGAAACAGCACCCCAGTTATCTGTAGCTGCCTCACATGTTCCTCCAGTTCACACCTGAGAATTCAAGGTTTGTCCCRTTTTTGCCCAGAAATGCACAGAAAGGGCAGCTGGGGTTCTGTCAGGCAGGATGTGAGCACTCTGCCTAAARCCACAGGTGCTGCTCACAGCTTTGGGGAGGGGGTTTCTCTTGCTGCACAGCTCTCTCTGCTCCCGTGGGTTTTCACTGCAGCCACCACCAGGATACACAAACCATTAATTAAGCACTGAAAACGAACCACGCCCACAGAAGCCAAAACAACACTGGTACATGACATTAATCAGCATGTCACCTCAGGGACCCTCAGCACCTGCGTTAAATTTCTGTCAAAAGCCACCCTTCAGCAACTTGGATGTGCAAAACTGAACATAAGCAAAAGTGATCTCAACCAGGACATCCTAAAGCCCCAAAATTAGGGTGGGGAGGAAGTACCATCCCTGTGACATCCTGATCATCAGTCAGGCTGAATTCTCTGCTAAAATAAACAGGTGGCTGCCTGAAGTCACCCAGCACCAACATCTTCAGGAAATTACAGGTGCCACATTTTTACCCCCCCCCCAAAAAAAAAAAAAAAAACTAAAAGAAGGAATAAAAGTTTCTACTTACAGCATTAAGCCCCAGGGAGTTTCCTGGGAGAGAGGAGGTGACTCCCGAGAGAATGGCAGTGGCCACCACGGCCCCCAGGCACTGGGCGAGGATGTACATGAGCGCCTTGAAGATGCTGATCTGGCAGCTGAGCAGCAGCCCCAGGGTGACAGCGGGGTTCAGGTGCGCCCCGCTGATGTGGCCCACGCTCTGCGCCATCGTAGCGATGGATAACCCGAACGCCAGCGACACCTTCACGTTGTCCTGGGACCTCGTCGATGTCTTGTTGGCCACCACGGGGAAGTTGAAGCCCAGAGCCGAGCCAATGCTGATAAAAATAAAAAGGCTCATGGCCAGGAACTCTGCCACCACTGCCCTCCAGAATATTTTCTTTTTGAATTCACTAGCCATCTTTCCTCTTTCTGTCTCTCTCTCTCTCTCCCTTCCTCACTTTCCCTTCTCCCTCTCTCCCTTCCTCTGCCTGATATTTTTCCTTTGAGGTCTGAAGAGAAATCTGGAGGAAAAATACAGTCCTTGGATTATTTATAGGGCTTGGGTGGTCTGTAGGAGGAAAGGGGTGTTGCACAAAAGGAGGAAAGAACATCTACATAGATGCTGACTGCTAGATTGATGTAAGACACTGTTTGCCTGCCAAAGTTTTTTCTTCCTTTTTTTTTTTTTTTCCCTTTCCCCTCCCTTAACAGCGTTCGATCTCCGCCGCCGTTTTTGAGAGGCTTTTTTAAATTCTTGGAAAAAATCTTTAGGAGAGCCTCAGGAATTTCAGGCTCACTTCTTTAACTCCCGTGTCATCGTTCACAGCACACGGATTGGAACGAAAGCTTTGATGGGATTTCTGTCTGGAGCTGAAACAGAAAGCAAAGTTATCTGTGCTACCGCTCACACGAGCTGCTGTTCACTGGGGAGGGATCAGTTTTAATCTCTGTGTAAATCTGACAGAACACTGTGGTAAGCTGGAAGCTTTAAATGGATGTAATTTGGATGCCGAGAATGATTTTTTTCTTTTTTTCTTTTTTTTTTTCTTTTTTTTTTTTTTTTTTTTTTTCTTGGGTTTTTTTTTGTTTGTTTTTTCTTTTTTTTAATTTATGGCACTTCTTTCCTTTTTTTCTTCCAAGCACAGAAGCATCTCGGGGTTCCCCCAGCCTTACCCTAATAACTGAGAGGAAAATAAGTCAATGTGGGGGCTTGCTATCTCGTCCTGCAGTGGCAGCCCATCTCTCAGCACCCTGCTGAAGGTCAGCTCGGCTGTCCTGGCTGTCACCAGGGAGATTGGCTCTGCTGCCGCTGAGCCACAGGACTGGCTGGAGACACAGACAGGGGGAGAGCACGGGAGAAGGGAAATTACATGCTTGGTTTTGCAGACAAAATGAACGTCCTGGCAGTGCCAGAGCCTCGCAGAGCAAAAGGTCCGAGTGCCTGGTTTTATCTCAGGCTCGGATTAACCCCTGGGCTCTCAGACCCCTGCCGGCTCCAGCAGCTGGCGGCGTCTCCAGCTGTAAATCCCGRGGTTTGCTCTAACTTCAAACCGGGAAAAATCTGTTCCAGAGGCAGTGGAACAGCTCTTGAAGGATGGCTGTTTAAAAGYAGCCTCTGCCCCCTCTTTTTTCTCTTCTTACTTTAATGCACTGGTAACATCTCCTAAATTGTCCTTAAATTAATTCAAGGTTTTTTCATTTAGACAGTATGTCAGCAAGAAGGAAAAAATCAAATACACACCTGGATAGTATTAGACACTCAATAAAGGCYTTTTTAAAATATATTTGGTTTTTGAAAGATGATTCAGTGACRAAGATGAAAACAGTTTAAATAAAGCCCCAGATGTCTGCAGCTTGCCATACCCAAGTTCTTATTCTTTCTAGGCATCAGATGTTCTTGATTTTTCACATAGCCARTTTTTATTTCCTTTTTGTTTTATAATACGCTTACACAACAGAACTGTACCAAGGAAAAAGGAAAGAAACAGGAATGAATTAATTACTGGGTTTACCTTTCTAATTACAGTGGGACTTCAAAGAGGAACCATGTGACAGAAAAACCAAAAATCAGATTTAGCCTAATAATGGTACATAGCAGAATTTTAATATAAGATACAACCGATCCTGGTAGTATCATCTTCAGTGAAACTTCTTATTTACTGTAAAGAGTATCTGAAATTTGAAGACCTTCCGTGAGCAACAGGTCCTTCTGAGAGGTTGCCCAAGGCCCAGAGTATGTGTCACACACCTCAGGGGACTGGAGATGGCAGAGCTCTGGGAATGACCTGCAAGAGTTTCCATGCATCCCAAACTGTCCTCTGTGGGATGGAGCTGCCCAGATAGTCAGCCATGGCCACAGGAAACTCCCTCTTTACTCACCCCTTCCTACAATTAGGAGCTGGATGACCAAAGCACCTCTGTGTCAGTACTGATAAGGTGAGAAAGAGCCCCTCCAAGGGAAACTGCCACAAGGTGGGAAAATAGACTGGGGAAGTATTGCAAAATGTTTCCCTGATTTCTACAGCCTCCTCTAGGCATCCCTGACTGGCCTGAGGCAGAGACAGGACACCAGGAAAGCCAGAYCTTTAGGTGAACAGCACAAAAATTGAGTGTACCTCAATAGCAGCAGGTTGGGCACCACCTTGGTGTTGAACCCATTGGTCACCCCACACTTGCATTTTCATCCTGAGACTCTCCATTTGTCTTTTTCTAAGTGTACCCACCTCTCATTTTATATTTTGGAACTCAGTGCCACACTAGGTCAGCAAAATGGTCATTCAGACAGAAAAGGAAAAAAAAAAAATCTGAAATAAATTAAAGGCAATTACAGGCAATACACACGAATRAAAGAGCAGAGACAAACTTGTCCTGTGAGAAGAAAAAATAACACCAACTGGGGAAACAAAATGGGGATGGCAACAAAGGAACAAAAATTCTGCACWAATAGAGGGGATTGTGGACAAATTAAATTATACAATAATGTAAGAGTGATAAGGAAAATGAGGAGAGMAAATGTGAGTAAAGAAAGCACCATCAGTCAGATTCCGTCAGACATGTCCACCGCAACACAGATCTAATTGGTGCCCAACTCGATATGTCAGTTTTCCAAAAACCAAGCTCCATCCCACCCAGACTGATGGCAAAGACCCCAGTGCTTGGCCAAGTAAACAAAGTCAGACCCCAAAACCATTAGAAGCCAAAAAAAAAGAGAAAAACCCAGTTTCCTGTGTATCAGATAAGATGTGTTGCTTTTATGGGTGTTGTTTTAGCTTATGCACCACTTGAAGGAGGGGTTTGGATTGTTCTAGAAMCAGAGGTGATTGCCAGCCTTATGTCAGTGCTTAGGGCAGACAGTTAAGAACTGATCTGATGGGAACAAGGGGGAGAAAGGAGCTTTTTATCTGAGGGGTGTTCCTTCACAGATGATTAAGGCCAGGGTACTCCCAACAACTCTTTGATTTAGCTACAYTAGAGACAGTTGAGAGAAAAAATCAAACTTTCAGGAATGGAGATTTAATTGCCAAGATCTCAGGTCTGGCTCAATTTTTGCATGAAACAAATCAGAATTTGGAGGGCTGTAGCACAAACCTCCCTTAACATTTCATTCACAAAACAAATGTACTTTCTGTTGAAGTGGCMGGCTTTGTTCTGTGATCCCACAGGTCAGACTGCTCAGGATCTCTGCTTTTTTTAACAAGAAACAAATGTCAGCAACTTCAAATTCAGTCTTGGCTAACATGAAATCTCTGGGARCTTCCCTCTTAGGTGAAGGAACAGTCAAAGTCTAAGGACAAGAAGAAATGTGTGTCAGGAATAATTGGAAGAAACAGGGGAAGTTCAGCAAACTGCAATTACTCCTCTCTTGAGAAGGATTAGTTATGCTGTGACCCTGCCAGAAAAGYCTTTTAGCAGGCAAGCAGCAATTCTAGGAAAACTTTTCTACCTCCAGTTTCAGAGACAACAGAAATTCCTACTTCTGCCCATGGACATTCCCCCCTGAGGCATCACCAGCTCTCCCCACCACAGAGAACAGAAAAGCCATGGAGCAGGGAAGAGCCAAAGGATGCAAGAATCCTGTCCAAAACACCTCAGAAATGGGAAGGAGTTGAGCACTGGCAACTGGAATGAAAATATACAGAAAGTTGTAGTTGACAGGCTGGGTTTCCTGSGAGAATAATTCCACAAAATTGAACAGATTTGCACCAATAATCAGGAGCGGCTTCCTGGGCTTAAATCACTTTCTGGATAGAAGGAGAACCTGTCCATTTTGCTGATGTAAAAAGTACAGAGGACTTTTTATTGGAAACGTTTTTAAARAGTGGAAATTGAGTCAAGGTAAAGACACTTGGAAATTTCTCTGCAGGAGCCTCCTGACCACAACCAACCCCTGTTGGTTTGAGCAGTGTGCCTGAGAACTGGGAGTGGCTTTAGAGTGAATCCTGACTTAACATTCCCAAATGCAGGGAAGATGGAATATTTCACACACATCCCCCTCTCCAGGGGATTTGCTGCCAGCCAGACTGAGCACCCACGTGCTCCATATGCCAGCCGATGAAAATTCCCTCCTCAGCTGCTCAGCTGACTTTGTTCCCTGTATGGAAAACACTTAAATCACATTGTGAGGCTGAACCTGAATTCTCAGAAAATCAATCAACAGTTATTTATCAAYCACATGAATCTCCTGCTGTTTTAGGAGCCAAGATGAGATATCACCCTCTAACGAGCAAGATTCAAAAGCATGAAGTCCTCACAATTAATTTTCATTTAGGTACTTCATGATTCAGTGAAATCAAAACAGGTTCTAAAGCCTGATCAAGTTTTTCCATTTCCTAGAAACAAAAAAGTGTGTGTACATTCCTCCATGTTCACCTAGACAACATAAATCTCTTGCTGGATTTCTTTTTTTTTTTTTTTTTT